ACACAGACGAATAGGTAAACACGTCAATATGAAAACATGGAATCCTGAATATTTTCTTCAGCACGCTACAAATATTAAACAAAGGAAAGATGCTTTGCGAAAATATAAAAGAGCGTAGCGCAACAAACGTTTTCGCACAGTTATTATAACTGTGCAAATTTTCCAACACATTTGACACAACAACTTTAAAGCCTTGTTTTTGCTATCCTCCTTTGCGTGGTTCGGTCATTTTCATTTTACTTCTTTAGAACATTTATTTTGCAACTACGACAACATTCTACATAACTCCCGCTCTCCGTTTTATTTTCTTTCCCACTCTCTCTCTCTCTCTCTCTCTCTCACTCTCTATGTGCACTGTGTTGTCCTCTTGCAACTAATTTTGCTGATAAAAGATTTTCAACGCATCTTATGGTCGCTGTTTGCGCTTCCGCAATATGTTTGCGCCTGGCTGTATGCTATAATAATTTCGCGTACTTCCTTAGTTGCTTTAAAGAAAAGGTATAAAATGGCAGCTGTATAGTTGGCGACGGCATCGTCAGTAACGACGGCATCAGATGAGCCTTGAGTAGTTTATGCGCATTTAAAAACAGCGCCCCTTAAAAACTGAAGGCCAAAACAAAGGCTAGAATATGTCAGGGGACGAATAGGTAAGAAGGCAGCAACAATGGCCGAGCATCCAAAGAATTGTGCACTGTTCCAACTTGCTTCAGCCGAGGCAAGGAAATGAATTTTGCGCAGGCCGGCGAAACGTGAGTCGTGAGAGCATCGACAGCAACAACAATTAGGACGAAGTCGTCGTATAAGTTGTGTTTGTGCAAGCAGTTGTTAGTATGTATTTTATTTCTCTTCCCCCGTTCACTCTTCTTACTTGATACAGTAGAGTGCATTGAAGTGCAATTCCAATTGACCAAAATAAATGTGCAAACTATTTAAAAGTAAATTTGATATTTCGACTCATTACTTATTGCATCAACAAGGGAAAATGAAAGCTGCATCAATACTTAGTACATAGAAATATCCGCATATCTAAGTGGCTAATATTTTGTTATCCTGACTGTAGGCCTTGAAAACTTCCAAAAAATATATTTTCTGTTAAATTATTACAAAAAAGTTCGTTTATTAATAAATCAAAATTACTTGTGAATAGAAATTTTACAAGTTTAATTAAAATTACTTAATTGTTTAGCTTTATTAAATAGAATTTAAAATTTCTACTTCATTTTCAATTAAGTAACACCAATTGTCAGTTACAATTACAATTGCTTTTAGAAATGGTATTCTGTTGTTGTTCTCCAATAAAATGGATCGGCCGCTACAATTTTAGTTTCTATTGTTTCGTAAATATGCCGCAAAAATATTAAATAGGCTACAATGACATTTTTTAATAATGAACGGCTTCTCTGGATTCAGTTTTGCTATTTTCTTAGGTCATTCCTACTGTAAACTTATTGCAGTTGTTTGTGTCAAAGTTTTTTTGTTATAGATATTGTTGTTAGTGTGCAAAGGGCATTGTTTGCCGTTTTCACTGCCAAAATGAAACTCAAATCAACTCGTGCATTTCTAATGCGAATTTATATGTTTTATCTTGGAATTCTCATCAAACAACAACATAGCAGGCCCGGACCCGCCTTTTACTACTACTACTATGTGCAAACTTTGCTTTAGTTTTCGTTTTTCTTCCTTTTTTGCAGTTACTCCACTTTGCTATTTTCTTATTGAAATGAGCCAAAATGTACACAATGTTTGTAACTCTTGCCATTGCCGTACTTTTGCTCAATATTATTACATCGAAACATCCACGCCTCACTTTTTCCCTCTATTCCTCTTTCCACGACCTTATCGTGCCTCCAAAAGCGTATTTCTTTATTGCCCAGCAGCTTGGCAGTCGACTCTCAGTCAGTTTGTCAGCTTGTCAGCACTTCAGATGCGGGAAGCTTAGTACATAGTAGTCAATAAGGTGTGGAGGTTGGGAGGTCTGTACACTTGCCTTGCTTTTGTTACTCATTTATTTTGATTTGTTTGCCATTGCGATTTATATTTCTTCGTTTTCGTTACTCTCAGCACAGCCAAAATAGTGCAGTGTCTATGTGAGCATACGAGAAGGGGAAGATGGGGGCGTAGAGCAATAAAATTAAGCTCGGATTTATTGACCCATTTCAGTTTGACTTGCTTCGCATTCTTGGCCCTTTCTCTTGTTCTTTCACTAGACGAATTGCTAGCTCGCTCTGCTCTCTTCTTTCGCTCTTTGGCGGTGCTGTTCAGCAACTAAATTAAAATGTTTTACTAATCCCCGACAAGTTACACTTTTAATTACTTTTTCTTCTCAAATGAGCAAAGCCGCATTTGCCTACTATACAAGTAGTTTCCTCAAGCTGCAATTTAATTCTCTTACCTGGCATTGTACTATATGTTCACTTAAATGTTCTCTAAGAAATCAATGCAATTCAATACAACATATTTCAATTAAATATTTCATGGGAAACAAACCCCACTGCCAATTAACCCATACAAAATAAGATAAATATTGCCAGTGTACATTGAAAAAGAAAACAATTAGATTTTCGCACTTTTGTAAGCAGACTTTGTTCAATTGTTCGCTTGCTTGTACCTGCAGCAACAAAAGACGTTAATTAAATATTTGCTCTCAAAGACAACTGGCAACCAATTACAACAAAAACAACTACAACAGCAGCAGTAACAATGGAAACAATAAAACGTAACGTTGAACAAAAATCTCATTAAATGTAGAAAACGCGGCATGGAGTACTAAGCAATGGCATTTAGTAGTGGTTGTTCGAGAAAAGAGTAGTAGCTGATAACGAAAAGGTTCGATTCATTCAACCCCATTTTAATTTGCTTGCTTCAGAGCATTATTTTATTTAATCTTTCTTTTTTATCTAACACTGTGAACGTACTTCTCCTATTGTAAGCAGTTGCTGGCTTTGCAGTTGTAATTTGTCGCCACTCTGCATATAACACTAACTTTCAACTGACATTTAATGCGATTAGCGCAATTGACATTCGAAAGTGAATCGAGAATGCGGATAGAGGATCAAATGCGAAACTCAAATTGAAATTTAAGTATTCAAGTATTGCGGTAATTGATTAGTATAGTACATATCCAGCCTCTGTCTAATCCCTGGGTCACTCAATTGGGCAGGCAAGGCAAAAATACAGATTTTTTGAATCTAAAAGCTATCTTCAACACCCGACAATATGGCGCCTATCTCAGCTCGCTTATCTTTGCACACATTTGGGTCAAAGGGGCAATGCCATAGCGACTGAAATCTCAGTACTAAGGACCGCGTTGATGGCACTCATTAACATAAAATGCAAAGGTGGCCGCAACACATAAAAACCTTCTCACTTTTCACACTTATTAAACGGGCAAGAAAAGCAGGGCGTGGGTGATAAATACAACAATTTTCAAGGACATTCCCAACTAAGTGTATGTCTTTGTCAGTGTATGTGTGTGTGTGTGTGTGTGTGGGTGTGTGTGTCCAACTGCCTTATCGGTAAGCAAACTGCCATGAGACGAGTGCCATCAATTTTTGTGGTAGCGACGGCAACGACTTTGAGAGCGCCACTCAAATTTCAACAGCATGAACCCTTTTCGAGCCTCAAAACATTTAAATGTAATCTATTATCTTAATTTCGACACAAATTGTTTGGCGCGCCGTCGACAATGCTGAGTGGTCGCATAAAGCCGCCAAAGTCGCTTCTCAGGTCCCTCTGCGGTCTGCCACTGTCTCCATCTCTGTCTGTCCCTCTATCAGGCAGGCAAACAGGCTCACGGTTTGTCCGAATGTCTGTCTGAGGGCATGCTTAACCCGGCTAACGAAAATAAAAGCCCGAAAAATAATGCCAGCGCCATTACAGTGTTGACTTGTGCACCCGACTTGAGCCCGACATTCAAATGCAAGGACGACGATACCAGCAAAGACGCTGCTGGTGGCGATGGCGATGGCGACTGCGATGGTGATGGCTTGGCGTTAGTAGCAACCGCTGAAAAGCGACGCTTATCGGCCGCAACGTAAATCACCCAATTTACCATAAATAAAGATATGTACGTATTGTCAGCGTGGACAGCACGGCAGGAGGTGAGGGGGCCCATGAGGCACGTCTTGCTCGGTGCGGTTGCTAAACAGGCGGCAAGCGAAAGCCAAAAACTGAAAACCAAAAACCGAAGACCAAGGACCTAATCGGATGGGCGACTGCACATACAAAACAAAACACCTTATCGCCATTGAGCACATCTTTAAGTGGCTGTCATCGTGGGTGGCCCACCCACCTCTGAATTGGGAGGGGAGAAGAAATGTGTGCAGTGGGCTACGAACTACTTGCCACTACTTGCCCGCACATAAATCTGCATGAGAGAGTGGAGCACAGTACAGGCTGAAGCATATTTACACTGAGAAAGAAATACAAAGAATTTGGGTCCCAAATTGTTTTAGCTCTGTCTTAGTAAGGCACAGAAACTGAAACAACTCCACCTATTTGGAAATATTAAAATCGATTATCAAATCCAGTACTAGCCGATCTATTGTACAAAAAAGTGAATTTATTTATTGCATCCATAGAATTTATTACCGATGGAAGTTTGTCTTGTCTTTAAATTCTGTCCAACTCTTTATCTTAAAGGGCTAAGCCCGTGCTGTTATTCTTATCCAGACAAAATAAAATAGGAAAATATTTCTCAGTTTGCTGCTTCTGTATATAAAGGGTAAGGACCGATATGTAAATTGCTTGTCTCCATTGGACTCGAACCTTTACTCTCCGGTCGATAGTTCTGCACCGGTTGCTCAGTGTATTTAGAAACGATGAGCACATGTAACCCAATAATGTGGTGGGGGAGAAGTGGGGTGGGTGTGGGTGTGGGTAGTAAAATAGTGGTTTGTAGCCTGACTGCCGTTCTCAGCTGTCTTAGATTTACTTTGCAAAAGCAACGTTTTGCTGCCTGTGACACGTCACTTACTATTTTCCTTTTTGCCAACTTGCAGGCACACCAACAGCAACTACAACAACATCGGAAGCGAGAGCAGCAGCAGCAACAGCAGCAGCGAACCCAACAACAAGAGCAGCTGCTGCTGAAGTATGCGCAAAGCCAACCGAAAAGAAGACAGCTGCAAATCGCGATTATGACGACGATGATGAGAACGGGAATGGCAGGAGCAATGGCAAGAACGATGAAAACGACCACGCTGGCACGCCGCAGGCAACAAAGCGGACTGTGCCTGCAACGACTACGTCAACGACGATGACGACAACGGGCCACACTCAAAAGCGTGTGGCACAAACGACACAATCGCGAAATCCCATCAGACGCGCGCACAGCGAACGGCATTTGTCGGTGGAATCAACACCAGCGACGGAGTCGACGACGCCGCCATCATCACCGACAAAGACGTTGGCAAACAAGCGCGGACCGCACCATCAGGCAGCAACGACGGCAGCCCCACAAAATGTCATTTTAAATTTTAAGGACACAATGGCGTTGCGCATAAAAAGCAATCGCAACGACTCGAGAGATTTATTTCAAAGGCGACCAAAGGAGCCGCCTCCGCCACCTCCACCCACGACTCGCTCTGAGGCGGACCAATCAAATGGCTTAGAGTCTCATGAAATCAATAAGCCATTGCCACGACAGCAACAACAACAACAACAACAACACCAACAGGCACAACGCACTGTGGTGCGTGTGGCTCCCTACAACAAACGCCAGGGCGAGGGAGGTGGGGAAGTGCACCGGCTTAAAATCTCACATACCGATGCGCCGCACGAAAATGAGGACGATGTTGAGGCTGTGCAACTACGCTCCCACATGGCACTATCCAATGGTGATGCTCAGAAGAAGACCTCGATTTTGATCAGTGGCGATGATTGCTACTCCACCATGAACCTAAGCTCCGACACCGCCCAACCCCTCTATCAATCCTCGGTTGTAGTGAAGGCGGAGGCTTCACCACAATTGAATCTCAGCAACAACGCCAATACGGTGACTATCAATGTGAGCAGTCCCGTTACTTCGCCGCCAGCTTCGCGTAGTAGCGCCGAGGAGCTTATCTATCAGCACAATAAGCTAAACACATTGCGGAGTCAACAAGCACTCAGCTCTGCGGGTGAGGTGCGCCGTGGTGCCATCATTCCCATCAAGGGCAGCGACGTCAATCTACAGCGCTCCGCCTCCAGCACATCATCAGCGTCCAGCAGTTCCATGGCCAGCAACTCGAGCGGCAGCAGCACAAGCGGTCTGGGCATGTCCAAACGCGGCCGCACACTCATTACATTGGACTATGAGAAGGAGCAGCAACAGCAACCGTCGCCAACGAAAACAAAAGCGATGACCACGTCAACGCCAATCAATACGCCAACCGCACCAACAGGAGCAACCGCAGAAACTGCACCCTCACCCATTCCTCTGGTAGCTCACGAGACAGAACTTTTGAAAATTTTACGGAATCCCGTCGAAGCCGTCAAACGCAATTTGGTGCCGCACGTGTGCGGTCGCGCCGCTGCCACGGTCCAACCGAGTGATGAAGCGCGCGCTAAGAAAATGAAAGATGGCTGTCATGTTCAACAAACAGCGCCCAATGGGGAGCCCACACAGACAAGCGGTTTTATAGCAAAGCTGCTGGAGGATCCCACATTGAGTCAAGTGGCCGATGGTCTTGAGACTGATACTGTAGCGGAGCTGATTGAAAACTCTCTGCAGCGATTACAGCAAACGCGTCAGGCCATCGATATGAGCGGCACCAAAGATCATGTTGATATGAATCGGTTAATCAGCGCTTCCTTGCAGCGTATTCGAGCAGAAAGGAGTCAAACTAATACGTCCTCCACACAGCAACAACAACAATTGCTGGCCGTGTCAGCCACAACGACCAAAGACGAGGATCGCTTCTCAAATCGTGGAAGCATTAGTTCCGCCAATAGTTTCGCCTCGGCCCATAACTACGAACTGTTCGACTTCGAGCAGGAGGCAGAAGCGGAGGCAGCCAACGAATCGGACTGCTACCAGAGCTGTTCCAGCGAACTCACAGCCGCCGGTATTTTGGACGAGGATGAAAACGCCGACATTGCTACACGGACCAAGTTCTATCAGCTGCTGGTTGATGCAACGCTGGCAGAGATCGAGTTGGCGACACATACGGAACATACACTGGATGACTCGGAGCATCACTATGAATCCATTAGACACACCGGGGATCCCATCTATGAGGAAATAACAGACGTTCCACCGCCACTGCCCCTTACGGCCCCACCCCTCAATGATGCTGAGCTGGAGAAGAAAGCGGCACGCTCCATATTCGAGGGTGCCTCCAAGTATGACATTCTCTCCTATCTCGTAGACGCCAAAGAGCGTGGACTAGTGCGTGAGGAGAGCTGTGAGTTTACACCGAATAACAGCAACCCGAAGATCATTGAAGAGGAGGCTGCCGATACATTGAGTGAACTGGACAGACGCAAGCAGCTGTTTAACCACCTGAGCGATGATGGACAGAACAACATGAACTCCCTCTCACCACCCCCGCACACCTTTATATGCGGCAAAGGTGGCGCATCCAGCGACATAGAGCGCCAGGATTCTGGCGTCGGCTCGGAGACTAGCAAAACGTCGCGAAGCAAATACCAGGCGGCAGGTGTTACACCCGCCAGTCCGCTTCATCTCTGCGAGGACTGTGATGGTGCCGTGGAGACTCAAGTTAGCGAAGCAGGCGTTGTCTTCGCTCCCCTCGTTTGCCGAAAATGTGGTAAAAAGCGTGTAGAGCGCAAAGAAATCATCACCGAGATTGTCGAAACGGAAGAGAAATACGGCCGGGATTTGCAGATCATACTCGAAGAGTTCTGCCATCCCATGCTGGTTGCAGGCCTGTTGACGCAGGAACAGCTCTCCGCAATCTTCCTCAATACGGAAGATTTGCTTGAGAACAATCAGACACTAGCTGAGCGCATGCGCGACGCCCTGGACATTGCTCTGGAGCAGGGCGATGACGATTTGCTCACTGTGAATATTGGACGCATCTTCCTTGACTTCACACAAATGTTGCACGCCTTCGAGAGCTATTGTGTGCGACAGGCGGGAGCTAGCTTGCTTTTGGCGAATCTGGAGAAGGAGAAAGAGCTGCTGCGCATTTTTCTCAAAGTGTCGCAGATGGAGAATGCTGTGCTTCGTCGAATGAATCTCAATTCATTCCTGATGGTAAGTATCGAAATCACTTTGTTGCAAAGAAATATTACGTATTACGTAAGTAATAAAACACCGTAAATCTCTCTTATAATTTTGCTTCTTGATGCTTCACCCTAACACGGCAATTTGTTTTTTTATTAAGTTATATTCACTATGCAACCCTATGTAAATCAATCGACCGTCTCTAATCCGACAGGTGCCTGTGCAACGCGTCACGAAGTACCCTTTATTGCTGGCTCGACTCTATAAAGTGACGCCCGCTCACCTCGATGGTCGTGAGCTGCTGAAACAGGCACAGGAGAAAATTGAATTGCATCTAAATCACATCAACCAGGAGGCCAAGGATGTCCCAACGAAGCTATGGCGTCGAATCTCCTCGTCAAGCCCCAATCGCCGCGCATCCTGCGAAATTGATATGATAAACATCAAGCTTCGCAAAATGGCCATCGACATACTCGAATGGAATCACGATGAGGTCCGTTTCGCCATGGAAGGCAAACTGCTCTACACCCAACCCACGGACAGCAACTGGAAGAAGGCGCGCACTATCAAGCTGACGCCATTAAATGCGCTGCTCGTAACTAACGGCAAGGTAAGACGATGGGGGGACGAGAAGGGGTTTGATCATTATGTGGGTCACTTTATGTTCGACAATCGATGTCGTTTTGACGTTTGACACGAGTCGGGCAATTAGCGACTCGCTCACACCTAATAACCTTAGGCGTAATCAAATGTCAGCCCACGGCTGCCATGGCAACGGCAATAGCAAATCAATCGCAGAAGAGTGGGCATTTATCGCTCTTCCCTGCTCACTAGCTGCCACCCAAGGCTCAACGAGCGATAAAAGATTTCAGCAAATCAGTACAACATGCTCGGAACATCTGCCTCTGCCCATTGAACTGTGCTGTGTTGGCGTCGCTGGCACTCTAATGAAAAGTGCTTATCCCAGCAACTATCTGCTTTTGATGCCTAAAAACAAAAAGGAAAGCCAACGAGTTTTGCAAAGCGAAGCGTAACGGACGCCGCACTCGGTGTGTGGAGGGCAAAAAACGTCAAGTGGCCCAGAAGCATCTGCCAAATGACAGAGGTGCACAGTGGCCCAGCAACAGTGGGTGAGAGTTGGGAAAAGAGAAGAAAGTGGTATCCTAAATATGATTCAAATGACAGTGGTTCAGAATGCTCAACACAAGCTCGCACTATATACTTACATACTAAGTTGCAATTGCTTTCCAAACTCATTTCGGAAATAATTTGTAATCGGGGAGTATAAATGAGAACAGTATTATATTTATTAGCTACTGTGTTAACCGACGACGTATTTATTTTCCATACATTCCGCCAGAAATTAATCAAAGAATTTATTGGATATAATAACGAAAGTTATTAAAAAAACTTCTACTCATATAAGAAATTTTCTAATTTAATTATTAGCTAATTAGTTGCCTGTATTCAAGGCTTAGTACCCAAAAACTGAACACTTTTTTTTTATAATTAAAAAGTAAAGAAACAACAACAACTCAACTCGAAACAATAAATTAATAGGGAACGTTTTATTATTAATCAATTAATTATTGTAGCTCGGAACATTATATTGGATATAATATCGACAGTTCTTAAGAAACCTACTACTTAAATAATAAATTTTCTAATTTAATTATTATCTAATTATTTGTATTCAAGACATAGTATCCAGATCCTGAAAACTTTTTTTATATTTAAAAATTAAAGAAACAACTTCAACAACTCAACTGGAAACAATAAATCAATAGGGAATGTTTTTCAAATGAATATTAAATAAATAATACTTGTCTATTAGTGTCAATGAGATGTCGTGCCATTTGAAAATAATTAAAGTAATGTCTTAGAAAATGATTTACTTCCACTGTGCGGCCAAAGCGGAGAGTGTAGGGAAACATCAGACGCAGTGCGTATGTCACTTGTTAGGTTTTTATGTGTGTTCTGTGTAAGTAGAAGTGGAATGGAGGGCCGGTTGGACTGTATCGGTAGGTCTATGAGTTTGGTTGGTGAGTTGTTGCGTGTGTTTTTCTAAATTTTGCAAAATCCTCAACCGACAATTGCTCAATTCAAGCCATTTTTCCCTGGTTGCCGCCCAGGCGGCAACTACAGCTGCTTCTTGGGCTTCCTGCCATAGGCGTTCGACTGACAGGCTTTGTGTATCTGTGAGCGTTATCTGTAGCCAGTCCCAGTTGCAGACCCACACATACACATATAGTCTAGTTGTAATTTTGTTTAGTTTCGTTCTATACAATTTTCTATTTTCTTTTTCCATTTTTTCATTCTATCGCTGCTGCCCCGTTTTTTATGCGCTGGCAACCATTTTTTATGGCCGCAATGACAACGTCAACGGCGACTAAAACAACAGCCAAGTGGCAATTATAAGGCAGAGAAGGCCATGTCAGATAAACTGAATTTCCCGAAGCACACGGGCATACGAGAAGCCTCGCTGTTGCTGGTGAAAGAGAAGTGCGGACGTTATACGCTGATACGGGAGCCGTTGTATCTGGACAGATGTGTTGTGTGCAGCGAAGCGGATTGGGATGATTATTTCGAAGTGCAGGAAATTTCATCGAAGGACACATTCATATTCAAAGTGAGTACTAGTACGCAGCTATCTATCTGTAGCTCTATATCCTGATACTGTATTCGTGTACGTGTATTTGTGCGCATCCGTGTCACGGCTGCTTGTAGCTGGGGACCTTTTGTCTCGCCCGCTCGCTGTGTGTGCCAGTTGACTTGGCTTTTAGTAAACGTTTGCCTTTTGGGTTCGTTAGTTTAGTTGCCGCTTGGACTCAATGCGACTGAATCGGCGTTTGCGCACCTGGATGGGGGTGAGCATCCCGTGAATGTACGCATATGCGTTAGCAATATTTAGTTCATTTGTCAAATACCCGTATGTATATTGTTATAATGGGCACGAACACAATTTGGATGCTTAAACCATTTAAAGCGCCGTCCATATCCATAAGTGAGCCCACTCATGCAAATTCCACATACAAGAGCCCACCAGTGTAGTCTTTTCAAGTGCGCTCAGGCAGTGGCTAGCAGGCAGCAGCAGGCTGGCAGGCTGGCAAGCAGCGCCTGCCAAAATGAATGACATTTATTGAAATAAAAAGGCACGGGAGCGCAACAAAATGCCTGCGTATGGGTATGTTGCGTGAAAGGGCAGCCACACAAACACATTGCGGATGCTGGGGAAGTGGCAACTGCTGGCGCCGCATAAATTGAAGCGTTTAGTTCCGGCAAACTGAGCAGTGACAACTTTTCTATTTAAAGCGAGCAGACAACAGGCACAAAGCAAATCGACAGCGACATGCTACACATGTAGATTTTATGTAGCGCAAAAAGCTGTCAAATTTCGCCCAAACGCCTAGGCTCAGTGTTGCCGGTTTATGTTTGCGTCTTTTCTGTAAAACGTACTTTCATGCGTATTCTGAGTCGGAAAAAATGTAAAAAAGTTCTCCGAAAGCAAGATGCGAGTATACGCCTACTTTATTAAACACCAATTGATTTAGATCATGTACATTTTAACAGAGTCCGTTACCAGAAAACTTTTTAAATGAAAGCGGGAAATGAATAAGATTTCCATACATTTAAGTTGTAATCCAAACTTAAGAGAGAACTAAATTTGTTAATTCAGATTTCCAATCACACAATACTTTATTTATTTATTGTTTAAATAGACTGGTAAAGTTTTCAATCGCATATTAATAAATATGAATGGGTTGCATCAGGAGAGAGAGAACGACATGGCTCGAAAGACTAATCAAGCATTTATATACAAGTACTTTTTGTTGTCTACTTATTGTCATTACCAGAAAACTTTTTAAATAAAAGAGGGATATGAATAAGGTTTCTTGAAGTACCTCTTTACATCACAGATGTTATCCAGACTAAAGAGAGAACGAGATTTGTTTATATAGATTTTAAAGTTTTTAATCGAATGTTAATAAATATGAATGGGTTGAATAAACCAAGAGACGGGCATGGCTAGAACGGTCCGTCTTGTCAGACTAACCAAGCATTGATAAACTTTTTTTAGTCTAATGCGATCCATTCTAGGTGATACAAAAACTGAACGATTTAATTATACTTCTCCTTTACCTTTCGGGTAAAGGGTACACATAGCTTACCGTTGTTCAAATGTTGTTCCAGATATCTCTTACTAAAATACTTTTTAATAAGAACTTGCCCTGCGCCTAGCAGCTATGCAACACTTTTTTGTAATACACTATTCAATGAAAAGTTTTCAATCTAATAACTAAAAAGAAAAAAGGATAAATTTAGAGATAGATAATATTTGGATAAATAGAGAATTAATTTCTATTTGACATATTGCAAGCAAATTTGTTCTTAATGCTGTCCGGTTTTTCATCTCGTCATTTGATTTCCTAGCATTTTTTCTAATGTAGCATTCATTCTTGATTAAAACTGTGCCCAATTGATTGGATGCTAATATATTTTTTATATTGTTCACCCCCAGGCTGAGGATGGTGTACGTACCAAGCAGTGGTACACCCAACTGCAATATCATGCCCAGGGCATGGGAGCGTGGCGCAAGAGACGGAACGCCCTGGCCAACATAATGATCAATGGAATGCTGGCGCGCAGTTAAACAGGCGCGATACAACTATAATAGTTCTGGTGGAATTGCATTTAATATGAGCATGGCGTAACGATATCAAAATTGGTCTTTTAATTTGTATTTATGCGTTTTTAACAAACCATTTTTATTATATAATTTAAGTGATATACTTATACATATATTATCAGCAATCACGCATAACAGTAGTTAGTGTTTACCTACATACATACAACAAATGAAAACATGCATAAATATACATACATACTACACATATAAATATTATACACACGTACATACACATATACATACTTTATGCTACAATAAATGCAATGCATTAATTATATTTTAAATTGCATATTAATTGGCTTTAAAGCGGAACGGCTACCCCGACCCTCACACTGAATTGGCAGCCCATTAATTAAACCTCATGACCACATTAATAGAGTGAGAGGAACGACTATTGACCGAGGTTATAGTCTATTCCTTCACTTGTGGCCGCTTTAAAGGCAATACGCGTGCTCAAGTGCCAGACCGTTGCCGTCGCAATCCATCAAAAAGCGCCCACGCAAATTTTAGCTGCCAGCCTGCCTGGCTGCCTGGCTGCTCAACAGGATCAAGTCAAAGGGCATGGGGGCTTGGGGCTGGGCGCAGGGGCAGGACCGCTGCGCTTCATCGCGTGTTGCGCAGACTGCTGCCACTGCCACTGCCACTGCTGCTGGCTGCCCATAAAAATGCTTATAAATCTTATGACGCTATATTATTTTTAAATTCGGCATAGATTTATAGCTGCGCGCCCTGGCTACGGAAATTAGGCGGCGTCCAATGTGCGGCACTTGGATCTGCAACAACAACAGCAACAACAATAAAATGGGGAAGCAAAATCGCAGCAAGCACGCACGATTATCGAGTGAAGTTGGCAATATGGCGACGACCGGAGCATGGTTTATGTTATTCTTTTTGGGCCAAAAGAATGTGTTGCCAAAAGTTTTCAACGCTTGCATAAACACATACTCAAGCTCGCATTTCCACAGCTCTCTCTCTCTCTCTCTTTGTACGAGCCATATAATGCTTATATACGTAAGTATAGTATATACATACGTATTAGTATATTAAACCATTTTAAAACACAAACACAACATCACTCAAATGTGGGACAAAAACAACAACAATAATTACTGAACACATAAGCACAAATGTTTGTAAAGTTTAGGGTCTATGGCAAAATGTTTATTGTTTGTTTAATTACACAAATAACTGAGCAGATTATTATGGTTAAACACGAAATTGTAATTGTAATGACCAGGGCGAGCAATTGTAGCGACAATCGTATCTGAATAATACGACTTCACGAGTGCATGTGTGTGTGTGTGTGTGTGTGTGTGTGTGTGTGTGTGTGTGTGTGTGTGTGTGTGTGCGTGTGTGTGGCTGTGCGTGTGAGAGTATGATTGTACAATTCGTGACGTAGTGTTTTCATTGCGGTCGAAATGGTCGAACAGCTGCCGCACCACAATAAACAATCACTTGATTGAGAGACAACAATTTTGTGGCTGTGTGTTCGTATTCATACAAATTTAGTTGGCCGAAAATAATTTCCACGAACGCCTGCGGCGCTCTGAGCCTTTGATGGCTTCCGCTCTAAATTATACTAATATGCCACGTAAACAAGACGGGATCCTTTAAAGCGGCAACAAGAAGGCAGAAACATGGCAAAATATGGAAAATTGAATCGAAAACAAAATGGCAGCAAAAAAAAACGAAACTTGGTAGTAGTATGGAAAACGTGTCCAAAGTAGCAGAAGCAGCAAAAGGAAACTGCATGCTGAGCGCAATTATGCTGGACAAACATTTGCCATGCAGCAGCTACGGCAGTTACCGAGCCAAGGAATACGTAAGCAAACTACCATCTAGAGATGGAAGCGTGGTAGGGAACTTTTCAAAAAATTGATCTACACCTGCGTCCGTTTATGCATCACATATTTCTTTATATTGTTCCTCCTTTTTGCTCTTCGCGGCCCAACCTTCGTTTGCCGCCTTCCTCGAGCAGACTTCTGCTTATTAATCTTTCTTTTTTGGCTAATTGGAGGACTGTCCTCGGAGCTGTATTTCTCCACAAGCTGATTGCCGGTAGTGTTGATTCTCCTTTCCTATTAGGTCGTCTTAATTTCTCAGTTCCTTCCAGAACGACAAGAAATTATCTTCCCCTGTTCCTTACAGCTTATTATGCATCACACAGTTTCTTTCGGGTTGTATGCTCATCTTATAATGAGTATTTTCAACTGCTCTCAACCGAACTGTCTCTTCCTTTAATTTCCTTTTCAGCCATCTCCGGAATCTCTGACCAGGATAGGCTCTGAGATTCCACATTTTTTTCACATTTTTCTTTTTAAAATTAGCTTTTAAGTAATTCTAAGATTTTACATAAATAAATAAAAAAATAAATAAATATACTGAGTTGGAAAATTATTAAATTTGATCGCCAACAATAACGCAAAAAGATTTAGAATCTGCAGAATCTTTACACCACAGCAGCTAGCTATCCCCCAATCAAAATATATCAAAATAAATGAATAAATCAATCAATCAATAGTAGCGAGGGGGTGGAGGAGGAATTGAGAAAAGGAGGAAGTGTTAGTTTCCTTTTGACATTCCACATGCACAATGATTTCTGTATAAGCTTTTTATTATGTTTTAATTAATTATTTACAAATTGAAAGCTAATAATTGGGGGTCACGGGTCATTTGTAAAAAGGCGTTATTTTTTAATAACAATATTTTTTTACTCGCCTCCAATCACGTCACGCGTTCATCTCTACTATCAAAAAAAAAAACTAAGCTTAGGCTGGGTGTGGAGCACTTAGCATGCACCTTGACTGACATACGTACACAAGCACACATATACACATACAAACAAACACACACACACACACACACACAAGCAGACGCACTCACACACACTACACTCTCAGGGAGGGACTGTGCGGGTTCGGGTGCTACTTGACGCCACTACTTTTAGTGTACTTTGGTGCCTGCTTGCCAAACACAGAGCCATGTTGGCGACGCCGGCGACGTTGATGTTGACTGGGTCGTGAACGTGTTATAACAATAGGGTGTAACGGTGGTGGTGGCTGCAACGGCAGCGTCCTGACTAGCATGCGACTAACACTAACGAGCAGTAAAACAAGTTTAAGATTTGCCGGCGCAAATAAAAACAGTGTGTAAGCCGGCAGAGCAATGTTTGTGTCTGTGTTGTTGTAAGTATGTGTGTGTGAGTGTGTGAGTGTGTGTGTATGTGTGTATGTGTGAGACGCTGGCGGCGGGTTAAGCGGAAGTGCGGATCAGCGTGCAATAACATAACCAAGGCACGTAGCACAAACAAGGTACATTATATTGTATAAGCAGACTTCATTACAGTATTTAAACAGAATATCCACAAATTCTGACATGTCGAATGCGCACAACACGCCGCAATTGAAAAATACTGACACAAAAATAATACCTTAGTTTACAAAATTATGATTTCCGTATGATATATGTATAGACCGATCAGTTGTAAAGTATACTTTAGGTGAATGGAATCAAGCTAAAAGCCTATAAATAATTGTTTTTTTTTTTTTTAGTCAAGCCAGTGTCAGGCCTTTGAAGATAAATAAACTCAACTATATCAATCGGTGCTATGACAACTTTAACTGATAACGATATCATAACAAATTAAATATTTCACTAATTTTGTTTTTTGCTCCGATATATGGCAGCTAATAAAATATTTAGGGTAGGCGAATAGAACAGCAAACCCAATCACCAATCCCTAGCTAATATAGCTCCAAAAGTTGAAGCCAGAAAAAAGAAATAGTTGGCTATCTAGTTTAATACGAACGTTTATTAATTAGGAACACACTTTTTTATTTATTTTTGTCAGGATTAATATTTAAAGTGAACGGATTGATATGTCTTTAACAATTCACCTTGCAAAAATCTTCCCCATATACTAATACTTTATCATAATATTTATAAAAAATAAAATTAAAATCAAACAACCCTTCCCAACTTGATATCCATATTAAAAGTCATTTATGGCCATAGTTACTTAGTTGCTCGAATGAAATTTTGCAATTTGTTTGGGCCAAAGGTATCGCTTGTAGCCCACAGTACCTCAGAATATAAACACACACGAGAGAAATAGAAGGCAGTCGAGCAAGTCCAACTACATTCTCGTATAACTATACGGCACGACTATATCACGGCCCATGTCTGGCAGAGCAAACGACGCGTCGTGTAAAAATGCATCACGTATACCGCCGATTGGCGGTTGGCAATGTGATTAGACCCCAAGCGCCAAATGCCGTTTGAAACTTTGCGCCGAGGACCAGAGGGAGAAAGGCTTTATAAGAAACCCACACACAAAAGCCGTCACACACACGCGCACACAAAGAGGCGGCAACAAGAAAATCATGTCCAAGCTAAGCACGCCATATGCAGCTAAAGTCGGAGTCACAGGCCCAGTCGTAGTCGCAGCCTCAGCCTCAGCCTCAGTCACAGCCGTTCGGCATCTAAACTAGGCAATAAAAATTTGTCGCCAAGCCAATAAATGTAGGCGGCGCGAGCCAGAACGACCACAAACAGCAGGTCGGGTGCGGAGAGTTGGAGAGAGGGACAGAGTTTTGCAGCCACCCGAAAATAAACCAACAAGCTTTTTCATTGCTACATTGAAACTACTGCGAAACTTCGTGCAAAACATTGCCTCGGTAGCACAGGTTGTTGGCCGCCCTAAACAGATTTGAAGTAATAAAAATTGAAATTAAAAGTTGACCGCCTCCGTCCAGGGAGGGGGCCCCCGTCGACTTCATCATCTAGCGGGCAACCGCAGTTGGGCGTTGGTTGGTTTTCGGTTGTCCTCCCACGAAATAGGTCGTAAAAATTATGAACGCTGACAATGCTGGCTGAGTGGATGGTCAGGAGCTCGCCGGCTGGGCCGGCACAAAAGTTCAAGTAGCGTAACAATGGCGCTTAGCGTTTTAGCCAAAATGCTCGTTGTCAGCCACGTTGAGCTTTGCATAAAGCCGCACCATTACACTGAAGAAAATTGTTCCGGTCATTAAAATCTTCTATTTTCAGCTACCTCCGGCAGAATCACTGATCACCAGGGCTACTAGCAGTAGTGTAGGGGCATAGC